CCATCCCATCCCTGTGTCCTAGATCAGCCGCCTTGATCTCAAGGAACTGAGTCCCAAACCAGTGCTTTCTCACCAGCAGTGAGAAGATTCTCCCCAACGTGTGAAATCCAGCCGCTGGGAAGGCAATGCTATTTAACCACATCCCTGGTGTTTCACCAGGTTTGTAGGAAGTTTCACGAGCTACCGGCATTAGGGCAAGGTCTCCTTGAAACTTTTATATCTCCAAACACCCCTGCAGCTGGAGATACTAGAGGGGACTTTGCTCCTTTCTGCTGTGCTGGGAGGATTCAGCTGAAAGGTAAAACTGCACACCCCCCCCCAGCCCATAAGTCTACAAAACAGACTGAATGGGCAGATCCTCCTCGTTATGGGGGTTGGGTCACGCTGAGTGGGCTCCTCTGGGCAGCGGAGTATGGAGACCTTGGAGCCGAGGCTCGGCAGTCGTGCCTTTTGCTGGTGCTACGCAAGGCGCAGATCCCCCTTTTCCAGCCTCAGGCTTAAGCCCACGCCTTGGCTTTCCCGGCGTTGGGTTCCCAGCACCGTCCCCTCCAAGGACCCCTGTTGCTGATGCACCTAGCGTAAACGGGACATCATTCCTGGAAACCGTCTCTGGCCGCTTGGGTCAGATTTGCAGAGTCATCTGCGGGAGCTTTGTGTTACGAGAAGGGAGCAGTTTGTTTTGTGAGCAAACATTGCTCCTGGCCACCTCCTGCTTTCTCTTCCTTCTTCACCAGGTCAGGGGTGCGCTGGCTGCTCTTTTTTTGGCCAAGGAATGGGTGAGGGTGCAATGGATGCCCTGGTTTTAGGATGTCGGGAAGGTCTCCTGGTAGCTCAGTCTCTGTCCCCTAGCTGCACCCCATGTTTGCAATTTTATCACAAATACATATCGACATCTTTGTATGTTTTCGATATACTGTGCTTCTCATGGCATCATCTGTCCACTGGCTGTGGCGGAGAGATAAGGAGAACAGTGGATGGAGCGTCAGTGGGAAAATCCTGCTGGGTTCCATCAGCTTCCAGGAGGAATTTTTCAGTGGAAATCTTTTGTCTGAAAAATGCCTGCCCATTGTAATGGAAACCCCTTCATAGGAAGGGGTTGGTTTGCACAGATTTACTGTTTAAGTGTTTCTGGGGGAGGAAAAACAGGTTGGAAATGTTCCAAACCTTCCCACAAAATAACAGTGTTTGAACCTTCCTTTAGAAATAACTGTGAGAGCTTTGAAGTTTAAATTGAGAAATAATAAATTCATTAATAAATTAATGAACTTGTGCAAAGCAAAAAGTACTACCCCACCTTAGTGACTTTGCTAAAAAATGAAAAATAAAATTAAAGCCACTTCAGAACTGTCGGATCAATGCAAAAAAGTGAGACAGGGTATGTGACGGGGGGAAGGCCGGTTGTTTTGCTCAAAGCCGGTGAGGTGCAGCTGCAGCATCAGCTGATGCACATCGAGCATCGGTGACACCGCTGTCATCGCAGGCATTGGCCCCACGGGGGTCTGGCCCTGGGTAGACCCCCTGACAGTGGGCCCTGCCCCATGGTTTTAAGCAGGCTGCAGAGGACAAAGCGATGGGCTGGGGGCCACAGGATGGACGGTGGCATCCCTGCCACCCGAGGCAGCGACGGCCACCCGGGAGGTGAATCTTTGGGGCAGTGCAGCCGGTGGTCCCACAGGGGGCTGGGTCTTGGCGTGGGGCAGCTGAGCCAGAGGAGTTCTCTGGCAGCCCCTGTGGCACTCCTGTCCCATGCAAACCACACCAAGGGGAAACCAGCCTTCTGGCCAGGCAATATGGAGCATGGAATCACAGCACTGTTTGGGTTGGAAAAGCCCTTTAAGCTCCCCCAGCCCAACCGTTCCCCTACCCCTGCCATCCCACCCCCAAACCCTGGCCCTCAGCACCGCCTCTGCCTGGCTGT